TTTAGATAAATTAATCAATAACTTTCATTTCTAATCACCACTAATAATAACTTTAAATTATTTCCCCGTCTGCTGCTTACATCCCCTTTAAAATGTCTTAATTGTTCCACTTGATAAAGATTTTTCCTCACCCACTGCAAATCTACTGAATTATAAAAATAAATGTTATTTGAATCAAAGCTGCTACCATTATTTTTATGTCCTGGTAAAATTAATTCCTTTTTACTTTTTTCCTTTCCGATGAACAAGGATAGAATCAGGGAATAACCCCTAAAAAAATAAATAAATAAATCTATATCTATGTTTTAAAAATCGTTTCAAGTTTGAACCCTTAAGAGGAGAATCTGAACCTGGTGTCATCGGTATCCTCTGCCCCTTCGTCATCTGCATCCTGCTCCACGTGTTCAGCCGTGCCATCGTCGGCGTTCTTGTCCCCGGGGTTCTGCGCCGCCATCAAAGGGCCGTTGTTGAGATGAGGCTGGTCTGTCTGCTCCGTTTTGAGCTCACCTGGTGGAAAGCAAGAGGCGCCGTTAGGACTCAGTGACTCATCTCTAGATGTTTGATGGTTTTCTCTGCAGAGTGGAACAGAGCTGCTGGATACCTCGTAAATCGGCGCGATCCGCCATCCTTCCAGGCTCCTTTTTGAAAACCCATTTTAGCTGCTGCAGAGGAAAACAGAGAGAGTCTGAAAACCAGCCAAACAAATCCTTTAATCGACGGCTGGGGTGAAATCAGTAAACACTGAATCATTTGGGATCAGAGTTTCAGGAAAGGTCTCCATCTAATGGATGTTTTAACAGGGTTTTCTAAATTCCCCTGCAGGACGGAGTTTTGACTTTACAGTAGTTCTGTTCAATTAATCAAACTTTGGCCTAAAAGAAACAGAAGAAAAATTAAAAAAACTTGGATTTTATTTCAGTAAAATCTGCTCTGCAATGAGATGCTCTTTATTTGGATCATCGCTGACAATTTTATCCCCAACAAACAACCCAAAAAGTAAAGAAAATTATTATTACAATTGTTAAAAACTTGCTTTAATATGAGAGTTTTTTTAACCCGTTTTACGTCAAGTTACTGTTTTTGAGGGTTTTTCATGAATTTCTTATAAAATCACTTTTTTAAAATTTTTCTTAATATATTCGGGCAAGTTAGTGTTTCTTGTTATTACTTTTAAATACATTTTTTTCATCAAAATATCCATATTTTTTTGATGTTACAAAGGTAATAAGGTCTTGTCCTGGATTCAAATAATACTATTGGCTTGAAATTTGGATTTTCAAAGTAACCCTATAAAGGTTTAGGGACGTCCCAATACTACTTTTTCATTTCCAATACCGACATTGTGACCCGATACGATATTAGCATGAACCACACCGGCTTTTATGACTTATT